GTATATTCATGACAAATTAATTTTATTAACTAAATTTTTAGTCCTTACAATAATTAGTTAATCTTGATAGAGTATTATACACTAATATGTAATTACAATTAGAACGAGTATTATGAATCAGTTAGATTGTTTTTTAAGTCATAAAAAATACATTTACTAATTTTTTTTAAATATAACATTTATTTAAACATTAAACTAATACATAATTCATATTCAAAATTAATTTTTTTGTTATTTTAATTTTTATAATTATAACACTATATATTTGCTAATTATTGTTGATTTTTAACAACATTTAAGTTATGGTGATGTTGGGATTAATTGTTGAGAAATTATGAAAATTAATAAATTCTTGCAAGTTTTAGGTATTTAGAGGATTTTTTTGTAGGACCAGTTAAATTTTGAGAAAGGGTACATAAGATTTCTTTTAAGACTTGAGTTTCATAAATTCATTTCTTCTTTTTAGCCTCCTAGGAGTTGTAGGAGATTGTTGTTGGGTGATAAAGTCGTGATTTGAGGCCCTTAGCTTAGGGTCATCATCGGAGTTGGGTGGTACGAAGATTTCGAGATTGCTTGGAGTTTTTATTCTTCTTCCTTGTTTCCTTTTTATTTCGAAGTAAGGGAAGTTAAAACTCAAATTATGTTCAATTGTTTTAGTTTCATGTTAATTGATTTCCATCAATATGTGGTGGTGTTGGTTGATTTTGGATTTGATGGTGCATGCGTTGAGTTTTGTGGTTTATGGAGTTTATGAGGTGAATTTGGTGAATTTACTCATTGGTAATTGCATTTTGAATTTTGTAGCATTTATGAGCTAGTAATGATCCATAGATGTTGTTTTTATCATTAGATGTTTGGTTTTTCAGAGTTTTAAGTGGATTCGACCAAACCCGTTAATCTACTATATGCAAATTTCACCATCACATTGGGCATGCATGGCTTTGGCTGTGGCTCAAATCAGAGTCTTCTGTTTCACTCATGTCGAGCGCAAGATTGATGGTGTTAAATGCGAGGAGAGAAAAAAGCCTTTAACTAGGTCACATCAAACGTGAGTTGAATGACATTAGGTGTGAGGTAAAAGAATTATCTTTGACTTGGTGACACCAGGTTGTGGGTTTTGTGACACCCAACATGACAAAGATAGAGCTCTCTACTTGATTAATGTTGGCCGCCAATAAAGTAACGTTGGGTTGAGGAGAAAGAGTTGTCTTTGCCTGAATTGGGTCAGATGGGGGTTTAGCCATATTAGGTGTGATTGTCTTAGGGGATCTTTGATCTCCTCCACACTGGGCGTGGGTGAAATGGCTTCAGTCATAGGCAATACATGTAACTCCCTATTTCAATGATGTTAGATGCAAAGTGGATGGTGCCAAGCGTAAGTTGCCTTATGAAAAGTTGTTGTTTAATTGATAAAATGGTCACCATGTGTAGGTTAGTTGAAACTGTTACATGTTGCATTTGACATATGGTTTTAGTTCTTTTATACATTGACTTGGGATAATGTATATTGATGATTCAATTATTGTGTGTTGTTGAATGGTGTTGGTTCCATATACATCGATCTAGGATAATTCATATAAATGAATAGTTGTTGAACTATTAAGGCATTCATGCTAAGATGTTGAGATGCTTTGGGTATTTAGGCATATTATGTTGATTAGTTTTTGGAAGTTGAGGTGCTAATGTTGAGAATGCGCAATGCATTTAGGTATCAAGGTGTGTTGTGTTAATCAACTTAGGACTAGAAGAAATTGTGTTTTATAAAGTTGGATATTCCATTATGAAAATATTGGTGTGTTGCTCTACGAGTCCAATTGTTTAAAAATCCTTATTGAGTAATTAACTATAGAAATGAATAGTTGAGTCTCCTCTAGGACCTTAATTGATGAAATATGTAGGCTAGGTCAAGGAATACCAACTACAAGTGACCAATGTTGATCCACATGTGGGTAAGGTTTAGGTATACATGTATAATGTTATCAATCGAGTAAGATATAAGGTTGAAGGCTTAATCCCTAATTGAGTACTAAAAAGGCATGGTATTTGAAGGGTAGTCGATAGATTAATTCCATAAGGGGTTTAGTTATGCATACTAATGTTATGGTACGTATAACAATGTACATTTTTTTTCAATTATTGTATTTTATCAATAATTGTGAGTTATGTTGATTACATGTTATTTTTGGAATAGTTGTTGAGAGACTCTAAGAGTTGATGAAATCATAAAGAGTTTTGGATGTTTAGACTTAGAGGGTTTCTTTGGACAAAAATATAGTTTGACCCTGAGATGAAGAGTATATAAAATTTATTTTGAATATTGAGCTTTATAAGTTCATTCTCAAGATTCTTAGAGAGATAAACTATAGAGAGGAACTCTAGAGTTTAATACTTCTTTTACTCTCTAGGCCTCCTTGATGCATATGGATTGTTGTTAGCTATTGAATCAAAGCTTGGTAGTTGAGAATCAAGGTAGTGTAGTTGTAGAGCTCGTGTTTACTTAAAGCTTGGAACCGATCTTCTTCATCTCTTTGCTTGGAGTTGAGGTATGGGAAAATAAGATTGTTTTGTTGAGTTACATGTCAATTAATTTCAATCAAAGTGTGGTTGTGTAAGTTGAATTTTAGATTGCATGATGAAAGGTGGGTTTTTTTTTCTCTTGAATGTTTGAAACTTGTTGAAGAAAATCTTGATGATTTTATTATGGATGTGGTTGCATGTATTGTTTCTTGATGAAAATGAGTTGTGGATGCTGCATATGTATATTGTGTTACATTAGATGATGGTATCTTTTGGTTTTCAGGTGGCTTTGAGCCAAATTCGTGATCTATTATGTACAAAAGTCACTGTTGCACTGGGTGTGGATTCAACCAGGGACCTATGTCTTGCTCGTGCAAACACGAGATTGGTGGTGTCGGACATGAGGAAAGATAATCATCATGGGTTGAAATCATATTAGGCAAGGTTTGAAAGGCCTCGGGCATGAGGTGAGAGAATTGCCTCGAATTGGGTTGGTGTTAGGTGCCAAAGGAGTAACATTGGATGAGAGGAGAAAAAATCGTCTCGGGTAGGATTAGGGTCGAACGTGGAACATTTCCATGACAAGTGTAAGGGTTTAGGGATCTCTACCTAATCCACATTAGGCATAGGGTGTATGGCATTGAACGTGGGTGAGGTAGAGAGCTCCTTGACTCAATGGAATTAGGCACAGTTAATTTTGAAAATTCTTGTTATATGATTGATTAAATGGTGAACATGAATATGTTAGGTGAATTTATTATATGTTATATGTTGATTGGTGATAATTATTCTATGTTTGTTGACCAGAGATAATATATATAGATGATTGTATGGTTAAATTGTTGAGATGCATTAGTATGCTATAAACTAAATTATGTTGAAAGTTCTATATCCATTAACCTGTGGTAATGCATATAGATGTATGTTGTTGAGGTGTGATGTTGAGAGTGCTACAAGCATTTAGACATGATTTGTTTGCCCATTGAAGTGTTGATGCTAAGAGTGCTATTGACATTTAGGCGTATTGATTGACCTAGGATTAGAGGAGCGAATATTTTTGAAAGTTGGATATCCCATTGTGAGGACATTGGTGTGACACTCTAGCACGCTAGTTGTTGAAAAATCCTCCTTGAGTAGGTGTTAAACTCTTGGAGTGAATTGGTGAGTCTCATCTAGATCCTTAGTCAATGTTAGAGTAGTGTATGAAGTTGGTGGCTACAATTCTTAACTAATTACTATAGAGGTGCATAGTATCACATGGATAGTTAGTTAGGTTGTAATCCATAAGGGACTTGGTTAATGTATGTCAAGGTCATGGTAAGACCATATCCAAGTTATGCTATACCTAACAATGGTATTAGACTTTTATCATTTAAGTGCTGACACTTGAGAAATCATGTGATAGGGATTGGTATTTCAATTTAGCTGTTGACCTAGTAGATGTGTAAGGCGTGAAAATGATTGATTGGTTCAGTAAGGTCAAACCACTAAGACTGCTAAGTGTTGTAAGAGATCTTCGTAGGTGAATGCATGATGACAAATTAGTTAAGGTTTATGCATATGATGTGGTGTAAAGATATTAATCCTAGGTAGTTGTAGTATGCTTTTTCACTGCTAGTAGTTAATCCGTTTAGTGTAGTAATCATGACGGATTGTTATGGTAGACTTACACTAAAGTTGTTCTACCTTGATAAAATTATTAAACTTCTTAGTTTATGTAGTTTGTGTTGATAATATAGTGGTCCTTACTCCTATACTTGTTGCCTAATTATTCTTTTGAATACTAACTAATTCTTGTATGTTTTCTTGTGATTGAATTACGATAATCATATTTACATGAGAGTAGAGTATAGATAAGCTGAATACAAGATATATGTAGTGAAGTCATGTTAATGAATGACTTATCATTGTTTCTTAGTTTATTATGATATAGCTGGTTGATTTAATTGTTGCTTGACCAACAACTTATAATTATTATTTTATTATTAGATAATTGTCCATATTTTATATACTTATGTAGTTATTATATACTTTTAATTATTATTTAAAAATTTTACATGTACATATCATTGTACATATATCCAAGTATTATATATATATATATATATATATATATATATTAATCTTAGATAGATGAATATTATTTTATTTTATTATATTATGAATAGATAAACAGTTAAATATAAAGATTATGATGCGTCATTATAATAATATTTTATTTCTTTACTTTAATTAAATAATTATGCTGATTTTTCTTATAAACAAAAATCTAAAATTTAATTTACAGGCGGAATAAAATGTGCATTCGAAGCTCAGAATATTTGATTATAAACATTTATTTGAGTGGATAAAATTTAAAATATTGTCTTAAGTTATTTATCCTTTTAGCGAAGGAGGAAAAAAAAAAAGAAAGAGAATGAAAGCAGGTTGGGTTGGTAACTCAAAAGGCCGCGTATTTACGGGTTACTCGGCGTGGACATTTGGGTTTTCGCGGAAGGCTCGCACTCACACTCACACACTCTCTCTTCTTTCTTGCTCCCAGACCTAAAATAAAAATTCACCCTAAATGCAGTCGAAATAAATTCGAAACCCAAATGCATTCGGTGTTGTGTTGTAAGTTGTAAGTCCCCTTTCATTTTCTGTTTTATCCCCTTTTCTCCACTCCCACTCGCACCACACCAAAACCTTTAATCCAATTCAATTTCCTCGGTAACACTAATAATAATAATCCTTCCCCACTCACTCTGTGAATGAACCTGTGGACGGACGAGAACTCTTCGGTCATGGAGGCTTTCATGTCCGCCTCCGATCTCTCCCCCATATGGCCGCCGCCGGCGCCGCCACAGTCCACGGCGGCCTTCAACCAGGACACGCTCCAGCACCGCCTCCAGGCGCTCATCGAGGGCGCCAGAGAGAGCTGGACCTACGCCATCTTCTGGCAGTCCTCCTACGACTACTCCGGCTCCTCCCTCCTCGGCTGGGGCGACGGTTACTACAAGGGCGACGACGACAAGGCCAAGGCCAAGGCCAAAGCCAAGGCCACCTCCGCCGCCGAGCAGGACCACCGCAAGAAGGTCCTCCGCGAACTCAACTCCCTCATCTCCGGCTCCTCCTCCGCCGCAGGAGACGACGTCGACGAAGAGGTCACCGACACCGAGTGGTTCTTCCTCGTCTCCATGACTCAGTCCTTCGTGAACGGCGCTGGCTTGCCCGGGCAAGCCTTCTTCAACTCCGCCCCCGTTTGGGTCTCCGGCGGCGACCGCCTCTCGGCCTCGCCGTGCGAGAGGGCGCGTCAGGGACAGGTGTTCGGGCTCCAAACCCTAGTTTGCATACCGTCGCAAAACGGCGTCGTTGAGCTGGGCTCCACTGAGTTAATTTACCAGAACCCGGATCTGACGAACAAGGTGAAGGTTCTTTTCAATTTTAGTAATAACAACTTGGATGTTGCTTCTTCTTGGCCTGCTACCACTACCAGCGCCGATCAAGGAGAGAACGACCCTTCCTCTCTCTGGCTCAACGATCCCGAGGTTAGGGATTCTATCAACACGGTTGCACCCACCCCTTCGGTTTCCCTTCCTGTTAATACTCAGGGAATCTCCAAGACCATTCAATTGGAAACTTCTATTCAAACCCCGGGTTCCAGTACTTTAACTGAAACCCCAAGCTCTATCCACGCGATTCCGCACAACCAGAGCGTTTTCTCCAGGGAACTCAACTTCTCTGAGTACGCCTTTGACCCCAAGACTGGTAGCAACCACAACCACCATTCCCTGAAGCCCGAATCCGGCGAGATTCTCAGCTTTGGAGAAAGCAAGAGGACCTCTTACGCTGCCGGCGTCAATGGGAATTCCAATTCCAATTCAAATTCCCATTTTTTCTCCGGTCACTCACCGTTTGTTGCTGCTGCGGATGAGAACAACACCACCACCACCACCAACAACAACAATGGGAAGAGAAGGTCTCCGAATTCACGCGGGAGCAACGACGACGGAATGCTTTCCTTCACCTCCGCTGTGATTCTCCCGGCCACCAATTTGAAGTCCTCCGCCACCGGCGGCGGCGATTCCGACCACTCCGATCTGGAGGCTTCCGTGGTGAAGGACCCTGTGGTGGAGCCGGAGAAGCGGCCACGGAAGAGAGGGAGGAAGCCGGCGAACGGAAGAGAGGAACCGTTGAACCATGTGGAAGCTGAGAGACAGAGGAGGGAGAAGCTGAATCAGAGATTCTACGCGCTTCGTGCTGTGGTTCCCAATGTTTCGAAGATGGACAAAGCGTCGCTTTTGGGTGACGCCATATCTTACATCACGGAGCTGAAGTCGAAGCTCCAAACCCTTGAATCGGATAAAGATGGTTTGCAGAAGCAACTCGATGGTGTGAAGAAAGAACTCGAGAAAGCCACTGAAAGTGTTTCTCTTAATCACGCAGTTAATAGTAATAACAAGTCGTCCTCGAATCAGGCTTTAATTGACTTGGATATTGATGTGAAGATTATTGGGTGGGACGCGATGATAAGGATCCAATGCAGCAAGAAGAACCACCCCGCGGCGAGGTTGATGGCGGCGCTGATGGAGTTGGACTTGGACGTGCACCACGCGAGTGTGTCTGTGGTGAACGATTTGATGATTCAACAAGCGACGGTGAAGATGGGAAGTCGGTTTTACACGCAGGAGCAACTTCGTACGGCGCTGTCGGCTAAGGTTGGGGATGTACGATAATAATAGCTTTGCACTCTGCAGTGTTGGGATTATATGTGTGTTTGTGTCCTGTTAGCTAGCTTTGTAAGTTGTGGTGGTGCTCTGGGATATTTTAAGCCTTCCCGGTAGCTGTTTCTGTAAAATAATAATCTTTCTTTTTGGGTAGCAGCGTAGTATGAATTTTGAGGCAATCAAGTTGGGAAGCTCCATGGAGTTGTAGAACTAGCTAGGGACAGTTTTCATCTAATCTGTGGGTGGAGTGCAGATAGCTTATAAGTAAAAATAGGGGTATTTTTACATGTTTAGATTGTGTATATATATCAATAATCATAAATGTGAGCACCATGGAAGTTCTCAGTATTATTCTTGAGCTCATCATTCCCAGTGATTTACTAGCTTTCCAGTTATGCCAATCAAACCATTTCTCCTGCTTCTTCTTTTTAAACATTTTTCTATAGTTCTTTTAAGAAGTTATAAAAGAATATTATTAATGAAAATGCTGCTGGGTTAGTTTTGGTTGCAGCATGCACTGTGCACCTTCTTACAGGATTTATTGTTACTCTCAAGTCTCAACCATGGAAGTGAGCAGTTTTTGAATCTTTGTTGATATGATGGCGTTTTTTAGGTGTTTCGGTTGTTTGATCTATCATGGGAAAAGTGTGTTTTTTTGTGTGATTGAGTTGATGGCTTGGTTGTCGTTGGGAACCAAAATTTCCTTGCTGCTTTGAGTTGATGTTCCTTTTAAACCATGTGAAAAATGCTTACCAACAACAACTGAAAACACGTCCTTCTTCTGTCTTTATGTTAATGGGAATTCTTTTTGAGCGTCTACATCTTTGCTACGTTTTCAAGTTTTTGACTTGCTCGCCTTATTAGGACCTCTCGCATATTTTTTCCCTTCTGTCAAGCAAATTTCCTGTTCAGGTACTCTGCTAACCACCAACGTTCTGACCCTACCAACTTTGGCAATGAAAATGTCTTCCGACATGCATGGTAGGATTAAGGGAAAAAACCGGGTATGGTATACAACTTTCGTCCCCATTTGTCAAGTACGAGGCTATGGTATGTATGTGTTTGTGGAATCTGAATCAGTGCTATTGCAGCAACATGCACGGGAATAATCAGCAGTTCACCATTAGAATGAGACCCAAAAGGCTGGTTCTTTCTCATAAGCTACATTAAAATCAAGAAGGAATTTGATGCCGATTTTGACGCCTTACCAATTCGCTCTGCTATGTTAAACTTAAATTGTCAAAAATGGAGTTTGTTGCAATACGGTTCCGTGTACTTTAATAGCTACACAGATGGTCTTTGTGGCATTTTAGGAATCCTGGGATATATGAGCAGAATTGGATAAAAAATGTTTTTAAGCAAAATATACTACTCCTAAATATACTAAAACCTTTAACGATGCACAATTGCTATAAAACACGTTATTGTTCCATTCAGTTGTATGTGTTGTAATTATGGAATTCTTCACTTAAATAAAGAAATAATTTCGTTACGAAAAACGGAAGATGACATTGTCACGATTAATAAGAGGCCTTTACTGTCTGTTATTTAATGATCTTATAAGTTTTCCCCATGTGGATGTTGTTAACTGCCTTAAGCAATAATCTTAGGATTTGTTGCCAAAAGTGATTGGTTCCTTTTTCCTCATCATATTGGGGGTCAGCTATAAATTCCATTTTCTAGTAGCAAAGGCAAAAGTGTTGAATGCTTTGCAGTGGCAGCATAGTGCATGACCACAATTATAGAAAACGTTGAAGCAAAAGGAATCCATCTGGCTTTGACAAAACAGGCGCAAGATGCATGATACAATTCCATCTGAAGACGGAACAGTGCAGTTGGTATGAATAGGTGGAATAGCAACTCAGCAAATGATGATTTTTTGTCTGTTCCCCCTTCTTATTATTTTTTTAAACAAAATTCTTATATACTCCATTATGAGTTTTAACAAACTTTAATGTTTTAATTGAAGCCCCCTTGCTTGTAATTGTAGAACAAATACGTGACCAAGGAAGAGTTGTAGTAGATAGCCGTAGCTATCGGTAGAAGAATAGAAAGATAAGCGATCCTCATCAATGTTCAGTGTAATTCATACAAAAATACAAAATGCCCTCATGCTTAGTAAATTATTTAGTCTTTCAGGATTATAGATGAGTAGATGCCATTGTCGCAACGGGAAATCTAACGCTGATGCAAAAGATTGCGTGCTCCGGAGAAAAGTGGGGTACTTCATTAGTTCATTTTCTCCCCTTCTCTTTGTTCATTTAATATGATGAGATTGTGGTCTATTATATTTAATTTTATGTGGGGTTCATTTTTGCTTCATGTTCATCCAAGCTTAAAATGAAAACGTTTTTAATTCTTTTAGTTAGTTGAACTGGTAAAAGCCGCACTCCAGATGATGTTACGTAGTATTTATTATATAAAATAAACAAAGTGGTCACAAAATATAATATTAAAAATATATAAAACATGATTAAAAGACAAAATACGACCAAATATCCTATGACCGAAATTAATGTACATTGTTTTTCAGTGTGTTTATCACCTTCAAATCAGAGGGCTTTGCACAAAGGCTATTGTTGGATTACAATACATCGCCATGGATGAAATCTTTGTATTATAATGGCTTCAAGAAAATGTTTGCTAATATCATTTTTAAGTCCGTCGAGTCAATGCAACGAATAGGTAAAGATCTTCCCTCGTTATAGTGCCTTGCCAATTGTAATAAAATTAATAATCACATATAAAAAAATTCCTATTTCCTTTTTGCCTACACTAAAAAAATCTCTGATTAATGGTTGAAATACTAATTTATTTTGAAACGTAAAATTTACTGAATTAGTTTTGTTTTTGTAAACAAAATCTTATTTATATGTAGCGATTAAGAGGTTAGAAGATGTGGTTAAATGAGACAATTTGGCCAAGTTAAATTGATTCATTACTAATTTATCAAATAGTACAGACAGATCCTTATTTTTTTAGTTGTAACAATGAGACTACTCTTGAAATGAAGTGAAGTAAAGTTGAATTGAATGATAATAATTTCTATTATATATATATATATATTTAAATAGGATGAAGTGGAATGAAGTAATGGAAGTGAATGTAATGCATTCTATTTCATCCAATATTACGCTTCAAAATTTGTTAAATCACTTCTTAAATATATTTTTTATAAAATATAAATTTAACCGGAAATATTGAATTATGTAATATGTATATCAAATTTTATATAATTTATTTATTTTATATATGTTATTTAAGAATGTATATTTACTTATATTTCAAATTTTAACATTAATATAAAGTAACATGATGAATTATCAAATAACTTTTAAATCATATGAATTTTTATATATTTAAATTTATATTTTTAAAAATGATTCTAAATGTAATTTCATAAGCTTTAACGGTAAGTCTCCGTATATATTTGTGTAATTAACATCACATCGAAGATACTTTTATATAATGAATGATTGATTTTAAAGTAAACCGTTTATTGGACAAGAATTGATTCTAAATTAAAGAAGTGGACCGAAGCATATGGCACCATATGTAGCACTTAATTAAATATTTCCTTTAACTACAACTCAAGAAAATCCACGTCAATTTGGTTTTATCAATAGAATACTGTTATCCAGTGGACCCAATGAAAGTGATTCATACCTGTTCATGTATTCTAGATACAGTTGTGATGGATTTCTTTAATAAGAAACTTAAGTATTAGGCACATGTTTCTGAATAATATGATGATTTTGGAGTTGGCTATAAAATAATTAACATATTAGTATTACTTTCCACGTCATGAAGCTCAATCTAGTATATATAAATTATAAACTCCAAAGATTTGGCCTTTTAATTTATTTAAGAAAAATAAAGATAAAATAAGTCATTTTAATCGTTAATACAAATACTAACGTTTAATATATTTATAAATATTTTTTTAATTCATTAAAATTACAATGATGATAATATGATTTAAAATTTTAAATTTAAGATTATATATATACATTTATCCAACGCTAATAGTTCAAATATTCATAATTTACAATAAATATGTAATAGAGAAAATAAGTAATACATTAATAGTGTTAAATAGTTTCACACACTTATTCAATTACAAATTATCTTTTATGGTAACTTATTTACTTTTATAATAAATTAAAATCTTTTTTTTATAAGTAAAAAGTCATATCAATTTTGTTAATATCAAATGGTTGATATTGTAAAATTACACTCTTAATTTATGATTATAAAATTATATAATATCTAATATTAGGAGATACTATTTAGTTATGCTATCAAAACTTTTATGACTAACCATTTACGGAACGTAACCATTATTAATTTATTATTCTTATTTTTAAATAAAATTTAAATTTGAATATTATAAGGATTGTCAAATTTTGAATTATTCACAAAATTTTGACTTAAACACTCATATTTTTTAGAAAAAAAATTTGGCATCTGTTTTGTTTAAATTTTGACGTATAAAATAAAGATTTTGGGTATGTTTAGAATAGTTTTGAGTTTTAAAATTTTTAAATCAAAACTAACTTTTACTTTATAATTTCATTTTTCAATTTTATTTTTTAATGACTATATTTAATTAGAATTGATAAACTTTTTGTTAATTTAATTTAATTAGAATTGAGACCGGTTTAATGACTTTAGAACCAAGTTAAATGCACAAGAAATTCAATAACTGGGCTGAACCAATTCCACATGTCAGGATTTTGGGATAACAAAATTCAAATATAAGAGTATATAAATATTGTTCTAAGCTTCTCCCATTAATCTAAATTGTTGTCAAATTTTAAAAATGTAAAACTTATGTGAAAACATACATCTTGACGAGTGTATAAAGTAAGCAATAAATGCACGATTCAAATGTGTGTACTGTGTACAGTTTACCCAGAAACTATTCTGGACACTGACGCATAATCATAGTTAAGCACTAAAGATTTGTATATATATATATATATATATATATATATAATATATGAACTTGTCTTGTCAAAACGCAATAACTTTATAAAAGGGTGACGGAAAGTTTTTCAATTTACAAAAAAAGTGAATAAAATCCAATTACTTACGGAGAAAGAAGGAAATGACAGTGTGTAATTGAAGTAATGATGGCAGAAGGATTATACAACAGGTCAATGATCGCGACAACCAGTCATCACTCTTCAGGTTATTTATTAATTGCATTCAAGAGAGTAAAACGTACGATTCATGTGAATCCTTACACATACAAGATAAATTATATACTAATTCTTACTGTCATATAATTCATACGGATTAAGTTTTAACAATCCAAATATTAATATTAAATTTAGAAGCTTTTCTTGAACATTTTATTTTATTTTGTAAAAAAATTATTATGATAAAAGAATCTATTAAGCTTAATCATACATATAAATGAAGGTTAATTTTAATAAAATTGATAAATATTTTACATTATAACGTGACAAAAAAATATATTTTTATAATTATTTGATATTTTATTAAATACATATTTTTAATTTAATTATGATATATTTTAAAATATAAATATATGATAACTATATTATTACATACCTATACATATTCAATTTATCTCAAATTTAATATTATTATCATTGAAATAATATAAAAATACTCGAAGATTGAATTATTACATTTAATATATACAAAGATATTGGACACAATAACTTAAAAAAAATGACATGAAAAATTGATACTTCATGGATCAATAATTTTACTTTTTAAGTATATGATTAAAAGTTAAACTTTTGACTATGTTAAGATCAGCCTAAGGACGAAATCAATAAAATTTTCATTTTAGGTCCCTTAAAAAATATATTTATATTATTTTTTTAGATTTTATAATTTTGAAAATTACTTAACATTCTTAAAAATCTATTATTAAAGATTTATTTTTAAAAGATAAAACTCATCTCTAAAATACCTTTTTCAAAAGATATTATTATTAACTTTAAAAATCTCACTTTAAGATTTGTTTTATAATTATTGTGTCGATCCTAAATTACATGTATATAAGAAAATATTTATTCAATAAAAAAATGAAAAAAAGATATAAATTAGATACAATATTATAAATATATATTATTAATGTTATTCTTTGATTAGAATCACCTCAATATTATTTAAATAAAATTGCAATTCTAATTATAGAACAACGTTAATAATACATATGATATTCTAAGTAAGTTTTGTACAAAGAAAAATCTTCTATCTTTTCAATTATCAAAATTTCAAGCTTGGAAAATGTTATTCGAAAGAGAAAGCTAGCGTCCATTTGCTTGGTGGTTTATTAAGATTCACACATTAAAAACGACACATGATGAATCTAAAGATTCTAAGACTTCGCGAAATTCCCTGAATCTGAAGTTATTGTGATGAAATTCGTTGTTTAAGAGGAAAGCATGATAGTTGCTTATAGGCAAATCAAAGGCAGGTAGGATTATGAGTTATGACGACAGTAGGATACATATCTCGCTAATCATTGAGGCACTTTGAATAAATAAATAAATAAATGAGAAATTCTATGGTACCCATCTTATTTGAGAGGATACCGGTACAGTCTTTTATATTTTATATTTTTAATAATTTATTTAAATAATATTTATGATATTTTATTCTTTCAATTTTTAAATTATTCAGTTATTTTATTTTTATTTTATATATTCTAATTTATTTGTAATAATATTATTATATATTTAAATAGTTTAATTTTAATAATTTTTAAGTATATTTTTATCTTTTCACTTAAAATTTTTGAATTTCTATGTTTTAATTTTAATAATTTTTTTAATATTTTATAATATTATTAAAATCTTATAATTTTAATCTCTATAATTTTATCTTACTTTTTATTTTATAAGTATAATTTAGATTATTTATTTTATAATTAAATTAATTTTTTAAATCTTTTATAAGTTTACATAAAAAAATGTATTAAAACCTCTCAATTTTAGAAAGTACCGTAGCAACTCCCTAAATAAATTACTTCAAACTATACATTTTGTTTTTAAGGATATATAAAGTTCTAATCATTTATGAGTTTATTTTTCACAACTTTTACGTATAATTTTTTTTCTTTCTATATCAATCCTTTGTATAAAGTGCTATTTTTGCGTAGAATATTTTTAAGAATTTTTTTATTAGAAAATTTGTTAAATTTTTTTTAACTTCTTACTAAATTTAGTTTTTTTTAATAATTATTTATAAATTAAATATTAATATTTTAAAATAAATTATTAATAAATAAAAAATTGTTCAATAATATAAATTACTTATCATACATTTAAAATATAGTTTGTGTGTTTAAAAATATCTATTTATACAAATTTAAATATAATTTATATATTTATACATAATAAACATGTTTTTTCTATTGTATAAGTTAAAATACTAATTATTAATTATTTAATAATCAGTCTCTTATAAAAAAACAAATTATTAATAGTTCTAAATATAGTATTTAAATTAATTATTCTATTAAAAAATATAACTTATTAGTTGATTGAGTATTGTAAACTTTCTTGATATCTATGTTAGATTTATATAGATAAAAAAATTAATTATTCTAAAAAAATTTAAGTCTTATCATATGGTAATATACAATTAAATAACTAACTACAATTAGTTTATAATATATTTTAATTAATTTTTTCATTTATTTATGAATTTATTGTATCTTGTTAGTATAAGTGATATAAATTTATTTATTTTAAGACACTCCCAGTTATATAATCTTTAGATCCTTCTTCTATGTTTAGAATGTCACATTTAACATAATTTGTGTAATACATATAATATTTAATAAATTTTCTAATGAAATTATAAATATTTAATTCTAATGATTTATGTATTCATTTAATTTGCTATATGTTATTTTTAGTTTTTAATTTTAATTTTAAAAAATTAACCTTTGTATTATGCCTATAGGCATCTTTATTGGTTTCGGAAATAAGAGAAGCTATGAAATTTAACTTCTAAAATGTTGCTAAAGGTGATTTTTTTAAGCCTAAAGGATTTCATATCTAAAACTTGAAAATCATGTGTTATTATGTATTCCATCTATTCTTTATTATTATAAGTAATTTTTCTCTCTCTTTAATATAAGTAAAATTAATTACTTTTGTATCATGATATATATATTTTTCTTCTAAAATACCCTTCCTTTAATATATAATCTTTCAATTGCACTACTTCTTTTTGACATTTATAACACAAATAATTTAAGAAAAATTTATGAAAACAACAAAATTTAATACAAATAACTAATTTTCTTAATATGTGTAAAATTGATTATTTTTATTTTTATTTTATATTTTTTTAATAAATTTTAACTGATATTATATATATATATATATATATATATATATTTAAAAAAGTGTGAGAGAGAATTATTGCTAGCATTTTTCATATACGTAATATGCACGTATACTTAATATGGTAATTTAAGTAATAAAAAAATAACTTTAAGTTCAGCAGATAATAAAATATTTACGATTTCATTGGGTTGAAGCCTGTACAATAACAGTTTCAGGAAGAAAAAACCTCAGTGCCTTTGACAATTATTAGTCTCATTTTCAAACGGGTGCGGAAAAACCTTGAAGGGGGAAAAATTGTACTCTACCACATAATAGAAAGGTTCATCATTTTATGTTTGAATTAGCCTAAATATATAATTAGGATTAAACAACCAAGCCCAAGAACCACATCTGTTTTTTTTTTTTCTTTTCTTTCTTTTTTGCAGTAAAAAAAATTAAATTCTAAAAATATAAAAATTTCACATATTTATGGGAATTAAATGTTAAAAGCATTAAAATTTTATTAAATTTCTAGAAATGATTTTAGATAAACTTCACTTTTCTGAAATACCCTCTCTTTCTGAATTGTTTCACATATATCAGTCGTGTTGAACTTCTCTTGTTCTCTATTTTTGGTAGTGTTTCACAAAGAGATAAACTTCTCTATTTTTTCTCTTTTCTTTCATTCAAACTTCATGTCTTTGCACATTGCTTGTAAATTGTAACTTGCCTCCAAAATGAGACTTTTTTTTTTCTTTTTTTTTTTTTCTCTCCTTCTTTTCTCCATTATAAAGGTAGCATAATAGATTTTTATAAAAGAAAAAGGTTTTGTTTTTCTTATAATAGTGGATTAAGCCTAACTCAACCCTACAAAACCAGCTTGTAAGATGAGAGAGTTGCTTTCCACTTATATACTATTCAATTGCCTTATCTCTAGTCGATGTGAAACTTGAGTTTTTCTCAATACACCCCCTCACGTCCAGCACTATTGAACTTGGTACGTGGATAAATGGTAAGTGACCATTTTTAATGATCTAGGATTGACGGGACTTAAATTTTTTTTCTCAATACACACCCTCATGCCTATGACGCATGTATCAATGGTTGGTAGCCCATTTTTAAGAATTTATGGGCATGATGGGATGTATTCAAGTCCTGCCAATTAAAAAAAAAAGGCCACCTACCATTCATTGATTGCCCATCTAATTGGATCTGTCTTAATAGTTTTATTTGCTTTAGTAAAGTGTACGTTTATAACCATATATTTATTTTCTTCATTCTCATTTTAAAAGGAATAAAATCATTTTTGTCACCATAGTTACTATATTGATCTGTTTACTCTTTACCAATTAGACAAACATTCATAGTTGCTATATTTTTAAAGCAGCTAAAATAGAGGGAGCTATGGCAAGAGTCCCAATTAGGGGCAGCACCAGCACACGTGAATTCTATCTATAGACCAATTATTGAGTTGGTGGTAACAATCTAATTCCAAACTTGACAAATGTAAAAGATCTTAAATTGGTCCAACATCCCGGAAATCACGTGATGAAGAAAACCGAAACAATCTCAAGTAAGGGAAAGATGAAAAAAGTAACAAGGATGAATAATGTGACGTATTATCCAAGTCAAGTGAGTCATAAATGGGGAAATGATTCCCTTATAGTAAAAGGCTATCCAAGGGAAAGAAACGAATGGTTGAGCTGTTTTGACGGGTGAGAAATCCATAGGAACAGGTTGTTCTCAACAGTTCCATTTCCAAATCCTATGTTGCAAGTTGCAACCATGAAGCATGTTTTAGTTTATATAATCCCATGGCAGCAACAGAAGAAAGAGGTGGGTTAGGTTGTTTGGGACACAAGAAAGAAGAGAATGAGTCTCAATTGCCTCACCTGCAGCCAACTGCTTCAAAGGACAGACTCATTTGGAGAGTTATTTGCAGAAAAGGAATACAAAGACATATGCAAACAGGTTCAAGTTGATAGACGTTGGCCAGAGAACATGGCATCATCACCGCCCAAACGTGACTTTCCCAAAAGTGCGGCTGTGACCAAGATCAAGGCGGAGCACCGCCGCAACTATAGCACCGGAGATGTCCCTTATTCGCCTGGCAGCCAAGGGCCAAAGTTGAAGCGCAGCAGTGGAATGAGAAGAAACTGGAGTTTTGAGGATCTGCCTGAGACTAAAGGGCAGAGACTAGGTTGCCACTGAGATCAGATTCTTTACTTTCATGTGTTGTGTGTTGCATTTGCTCCTTTTCTGCATTGTGTATACAATATACTTTCTTTGTGGGGAATGTAAAGATTCGACAAGGGGGTAGAGTGGGTTGTACATTATTTAAGTATGGTGTTTCAAGCACATTCTTGTATGAGCCTTTTTTTGCACCATATTTGATTCATATCCCCTGTAGTTTTTGTTTTTCATTTTCTACTTTTAAGTCATTCTAACTCTGTTATTTCATTCAATTTATAATCAATCCTTCTGCTGCCTGTTAGAATACTACATCCTATCATTGAATAACATGTTATATGTATCTAATACAAAGTTACAATGAAATGACCTGATCAAACAAAATAAAAGAAATAGAGTCAATGTTATACATATCTTTAAGATCTAGCTTGAATCTATAAAAACTGGAAAAAGTGTTAGAGATAATAAAATATAATAATTTTAATTAAAAATTAAAAGCAAAAATTTGTATTAACCTACATAGGTCTGCAGTAACTTTTTTTTTTTTTGATACATTTCACAATAAAACTTTTTTTTTGTTGATACATTTCACAATAAAACTTTGTTCCAACAGCAAAAACCTTTCTTATACATTTGTTGCATGACAGATAATTCCAATTATTCCCAAATTCTATTTCAATCACCTTAGCAAGTATTGATCTAACACAACTCTATTAAAGAACACATACAATTTAACCATGCTAATGCTTGATTTGGACTTAGTTCAAAGAAAAAAAAAACTAACAAAAATGGCATACTTCATTAGCATCAATGAGATTGGATATAGTCATCATTGGAGTTTGCAACATGTCATCAAACATAGATATGGAGGAATAAGGAGTTATTTGGCTGACATATTAGTTAACCTGAACTTGGTCACCATCCATTCTACATATAATGATGAAATAAATTAAAAAGTTAAACTAACATTTTAATAAAAAAGAAAAAAATTAAACAAAAATATGTTTTACTTGTCTCTATATTCCTTAACAACATCCATGTCAACATCAAAGAATTATTTCGTCCCAAAAAAGGCATTTGAAATTCCCATTGTCCCTCTAATATTGTGAAATTATAATCAAAATGATTTTTTATATGTCATTGCAAGGAAACACTAAACACATATTTGATAATAAGTTATCATCCTTACCATGATATTTTTTTTAACTCGCAAAGTTGTTTATAATAACGATTACAGGACCTCCAACATCATGGTTATAAATGTTCTTTCATCTTATCAACATAATCTCCCCACAATATACAGTTAACTTTATTGCAACCGCAAAAATTCGTTTAAAAAAATATTATACATATTTGAGTATTTGAGTTGTTTAACAATACATACTATTAGTTCAAAATGAAGACTTACTCTAAATCTTACAACACAACATCTATTAGTTTGCTTTTTTTACCATTTTTTTTATTAATGTCATCTTTCTTGATTACAATACCAATAACATCTGCTAAGCATAAATAATCAAACCATCATTTAAATGTTGTAAGCATAATATATAATTATAGTTATATATAATATAAAATACGACCAATTATTAAAAATTCATTAACACTAATCAAGTAATATGTCTTCCTTAATTGTAACCAGTATGTCAATGAAAGACATAAAATCCAAATGAAGTTTTGGGATATGATCAGCTTCCTCTTTAGTCACCTTTGTGTTGGCAATAAAACTAGGTTTGTACTTATGATTTGTAGTCTTGAATTTGATATCATTTTTGCCTATCGACAAATTTTCAATAAATAAGATAGTTCCTTCTTCTAAAATTGACTTGAACTTAGGTATCAACTTCTTTTTCACGGAAGCATGAATTTTGACATACTATTAAAATAATATTCACATAGTTAAGAAATGGTCTTATGGATTTCAATGAAAGCATAAATAAAATGATTTTGACAAATAAAATATATACCTTTTCATCTAGAAGCAACATCTCAATACTTTTGACTTCATTTAGATTGTTGTGCTCGGGTAAATGTTAGAGCAAAATTATTCGTACTTTTAGTTTCCATTCTATCCTTCTAGTAACCACATTAAAAATCAAATATGTTGTTTCTATTTTCACACTGGTACGAGCCGTAAAAATATCATACAGAACATGATTATATATGCCAAAAACATGTGAAGTTTAAAAAGGCATTTAAAATTTAAAACAACAACTCTTCATTAATGAAGGCGTGCCATTAGCTAATATGTTAAAAATCATAAATCATATTACATGTTTTGACCGTTATCAAATGCCATTGGAAATGACATAATAGTTTTAGTAACTTTCAACTTTTTTTTGGGGGGGGGGGGGACCAAATGATAACTCCTTGAATAATAAAAAAGAGAGAATTGATTCTACTTAAAAAAAAAGAGCTCAAAGATATCTTTACTGGTTAAGATATGTAAACGGCTCAAATTCTATAATTAAAGTAGAAAATATTCAAAACTAATGATTATTTTAATAATTGTATAGACGATTTAAATTCTATAATTAAAGTTGAAGTGAAGTGATAAGTGTCAATTTTATTGAAATGACTTAAATTTTTTTTTACATTTATTTAACTAGTTTTGAAAGAAATTTGTGTTATATAACCCCTAAACTATTACAAAATTTAAAAGAGTTGTGTAAATTAGTTAGTTTATAAAGAGTTGATGAAAATTTTACTTAAACTCTTGTTTTATGTCTTGTAGGATTCAATGAAGATCCAAAGTCATAAAATCCTCCAATTTGCTAAGGTGTTTGGAAAGGGATTGGACCCTTTTGAAAAGATTGAGCTATTTCAAAAGGATTGAACCCTTCAAAGGTCAAAAGCAAGATATAACCAGAGGCCAAACTGCTCAGCCGTTTGGAAAGGACTCTCAAGGGATGCAGAATTTTGGTCTCCTAGGGGCTCAATGGATTCCCAAGGACTCAGCTTATGGAGTTCCTTTACCATGGAGACTTATTCAAACCACTCAATTGTTTGGAAAAAGGGCTGAACGGTTTACTCTCTCTTCTCTATACTCTATTTTATTTGTTGCATATATATAAGGACTAAGGAGGAGAAACAGAGGGGAATAAAGTGGAGACTTGTGGAAAAGTATAGAGCAAGTAAGGAGTCCAAGAATCAGTTGGGAACGAGGGCTCTAGGGTCTTTCTTTCTCTCTTTTACACTTTCTCCATGTATTTTTGGATTGACTCTCATCATAATGAGTGACTGATCTTTTCTTTTATTGGGATTAAATGTAAATCATCAAATTCTCATATACTCCTTTTGATTTATATATATGATGATCTATTATTCAATATTAATGATTTTGATTTTGTTCTTAATGATAAGGTAACTTGATCACGTATCTTTGATTTTTGGTTTGGATTTCAGTTGGGAAACATTTTCTAAATTTGGTTCTAAATCAAATCACCCAATAACTTTAAAGACTAGGAATCGATTTGGAACTATTAGTTGAAAATGTTCTTATATTTAATGCAAGGTTTTTAACTCAATAAATAGAGGAATCATTTGTTAAGTTGAATCCTTAGAATTTCTAAGCTCTAGGAATTGTTTTGGAATGAATTTAATGAACTCAATGATATTAAATAATAGAAATCATATATAGATGTCTTAGAAACACATAAAGGTGAGATTAGTGAAGTTTAATCCCAACAACTTTCTAAATTGTTATCTTCTAATTTTTCACTTGCCTACTTGTTTTCTCTTTTACAAATTTAATAATTATATGAACAACAAACATGTTTATAGTTGACGCAAATCTTTCTTTTTCAAGTTTTACCAAGGATAATAGAGATTCTCAATATCTTTCAAGTCAATGAGGTTTGGCAACCTGTATTTATTTTTTATATTACATATACTTGGCACACTTAACTGAAAATCTCAACATTAAAATATATAATTAGCTCAATTATAGAATTATGAAATACTATTAAATCCTAATTTTTTGACACGGTTCAATTTTTGTAATTAAATACTCTCAATATTCAAAACTTTAGATTAATAATTAGTCAATTATATAGACTATTATACTTAAATTATCTTAATCGTAAACTCGTGTACGTAATGATTCAAGTTTATAATTTAGTTTTGGATTTATAAGTAAAAATAATATATAAATAAATCTCATTTAAAATTTAGTCTTTTAAGTATTTATTAATTTTATTAAGCTTGCAACATATTGTTATTTTAAAAGTTGGATAAGATTAAAAAATTTTGTGTTTATGGTGGAATTAACCATCAAATCCTGGGTTCTTTTTATTTAGACAGCCATCTTCTCCCCAAAGCCTCTTTCCACTCAATGTTATTAAGCAATATACTTTTACAGTCATTCTGAATAGAAAAAAAAGACTAGCCTCCACCATAACCAGCATAAGAAAGGTTCTTTTACAGTCATTAGCATTTCGAAAAGTACTTTTACAGTCATTAGCATTCCGGAAAGTACTTTCCGGAATAGTAAAATTATTGTTCATATAATTCCGGAAAGAACTTTCCGTAATAGTAACTTTAATATTATGGAAAGTACTTTCCGGAATTATGTAACAAAACATTTCCGGAAAATACTTTCCGGAATAAGAATTTAATATTATGGAAAGTATTTTCCGGAACATTTTTATATAATTGCTTATTATTTTTCTTATATGCAATTAATTGTATGATTTAGAGTGCTCTATGGGTTTCTATGGGAAACCCTATGAGAAATAGGCAAAATATGAATATTTTCTGTTTTGATTTCTGATTGCCCTATTGCATTCCTTATTGAATGTAATGTGTAAGTATGTGATTAATTTTGAGAATAAATATGTTTTGATATGATTTAGAGTGTTCTATGGGTTCCTGCGGGAAACCCTATGAGAAATAGGCAAAATATGAATATTTTCTGTTTTGATTTTTGATTGTTCTGTTATATTCCTTGTTTGATGAGATGTAAAAATATGTATTTAATTTTATAAATAAACGAGTTTTGATATAAATTAAAGTGCTCTGTGGAGGCTTTGTGAATATGATGAGATAATGTGAAATGTGATTGAGATATGAGATATGAAATGTGATAATGAAATATGATGACGAAATG